CCCCGCCCCCAAGCACTGGACCTCATTCTGTGAGTATGCAGTCCTCTGTGATATCACTCATGAGACATCAAGGTTGTAATCCCAAATCCTCAGACCTTTTCAATGTGTCCTTCATGATGCCACGTCTTTGAGTTTATATGAGCCTTTTTAAAGACCATATTTCATGGTCTCATTTCTCATTCATGATTCAGAAGTGCTTCCTATACCAAGTAGTCATGGACTTAGTACACTAGTGTATGTGTTATTTTCCCCATCCTGCCTAATCATGAGCTAGACAGTGCCTTGTGACGTGCACATTCAATAATTTTAGAATGGATTACTGGGTGGCCCGGTTCTAAAAGCAGTCACCTGGTCTATTTTTTTCAAAGCTTCCCTTTTCTTACTCTAGTCTCAGGAGAGCTTCCACCAATCTATATGCTAATATTTAAAATTCCTCATTAGTGCAAAGTCATCTAGCTTTTCAGCCCCGAGTCTCCTCAAACATCACTCTCTCAAGCTTGGCCGTATAAATATCAGTTTTTTTTTTTAAAAGGAGGAATACTTTATTTTGGGGAGTGGTATCTACTTAGTCTCATATGAAACCTCTGTATCCTTCATATTCTACCATCCTAGCTATGCATGAAAGGAGAAGCTACCTCCTAGGTTTTCTGTTTTGTTTTGCTTTTGTGGTTTCCTTTCTACATTTTGTAGATAAATTTCTAAACGGTCTTATTAAATAAAAAAAACAGCCAAATATAGGGGGGAAAGCCTTAGTGATCAGGGAAATAGTGAGAGCCACTAACCTTACCTCTTCAGCTCTGCAGCTACCAAAAGTGAGTTACTTCCTGTCTACTTGTGCCTTTATTGCCTTGCTGTTCTGCCCTCTCATTGGCTCTTAGCTCAACTACCTCACTTCCTTGTCACTGCCTGTCTGTACAGACCTCCAGGTCTCTATGGTTGGTACTGAGATTAAAGGCATGTGTCACCACACTTGGCTGATCCCTAGTGTGTCCTTGAACACACAGACACCCTGTCTGCCAAGTGGTCAGATTAAGGGCATGTGCTACCACTGCCTGACTTTTGTGTTAATGGCTTGCTATTTCCTCTGATCTCCAGGCAATCTTTATTTATAAGCATACAAATAAATTATCACCACAGCATTTAATGACAAAATCTCAGGAAGATATCTGGGCTTACACATTAGTTATTGGAAATACATGGAAATTCACATTTTTTGTCCTATGTCTTCATATCTTAGGAAATTGTCAATCTCCCCCTCTCCCCCATCACAACATTCCTTCTTCAATGAATTGAAGGATGAGGTAGTAGGCATTTGTAACTTCACCTGGTTCTTAAATTCTTTTGATTAATTAGGTCCCATCTCCCACCCCTTAGAAGAATATTTCAGTAACAGAGAAGCCAGTTGATAACAATCTTAAGGAGCCAGGATTAGATGTTCTGCATCTTTCCAGAAAGCAGTTTCAGTTCTCAAAATGGGGAGAATACATTTACTCACTTTCCACTTATCTAGTCACTCACTAATAATCAGGGTTTGCCTGCTTACGGCTAGTCTCTTTGTCCTCGTACTTAGATTCAACAGAGATCTTTTCTACCTTCATTTTTGGTAGATCTGTCTTCTGTCTGCTGAAGAATAGTTGTGAACCATATGAGGAAGGGCCACATCTTCCCATGCAGCTGTGGTACCTTTCTGTTTCCTAGCAGATCACATAGGATTAGCTTGAAGGCACTAGAATTGATCAACCATTACCTGAAGTTTGTCTCAGAAGTTTATTGTGACACATATGGTAAAGGGTAGGAGCTGCTTGTCAAAACATGTGCATCTGTATATAATATATATTGCTAGAAGCTGAAAATAAAATACGTTCAACTTCCACATTTTCACATGAATTCTATCACTTTGCTGGATGAGAGCTGATATAAGGGGAGTCTAAAGGACAGAGCAGTGTTTGGTTAAGAGAGGTTGATTGCCATACTGTGTTTGCAAACACAAAGATGTGATTAAGAGTTAAATTAAATTACAAATTTAGTCCTGATTCCAAAAGATTAAACAACAATAACACTATTTTTAATCTAGCCTAGTCTAGATAAAAATTAAGGTAGGACTTCAAAAAATTCTTTGTAGTTGAGATGTATTTTTGGAAAGGAATTCTTAAACTATGAATAGAAAATAAAGGAAAAAAACACACCCAAAAAAGTACATTGTTTGGACAAGGTAATTTACATGTTCTCACTATTGCCAAAATTATCCCCAAAGCAGCTCAGGTGTAGAAGGCAAAGTAGAGACCAGGGATGTAGAATGCTCTCTCTGGCTCACCTGGAACCAGGCTGTGGCTGTCCAGTCTGCTCAAACATTCATGGAAGGTTATTGTTATGTTGATGTCCTTAGAACGGAAGGGCAGATTCAATACTAACTTTGAATTTTAACATTTGATGGTTAGCTAACCATGAATCTGCCAACAGTACTCTTTGGCCATCTAAAGTGGACAAGCAGTGCATTAACATTCTGGAAGGGGAAAAATTCTTAGTTTCGAGAAGGAGATAAAGTAAAGGAGCAGAGAGAAGGTGAACACATCTAGACACCGTGCAGAGGACAGACTTACAGAGAAGCCCAGGTCCATTACAGAAGCTCCAATGCCGAGAGCTAACAGAACGAGCTGACTGGTGACAGTTTGGACTAACCTGAGTTACTTTAGGTACACTAAATATCTTTACTTTTAGAAGATTAAAAAAATTAACTACCATTGTACAGCTAATGTAGTGAACTAGGGATTATTTAACTCCTACGTTGACCTTGCTGAGTGGACTCTAGGGGATTTATGGTAACCTGACTAGTGATGAAAGCAAAGCCCAAAGAAGCCATGCTTCTTGGCCAAGTTTTGAGCACAGTCCAGCAGCAGAGCTCACTTCTGAGCCCAGGCACCGGCACAGTTGCTGCTCACTTTACATTCTCTGTGTCACTGTGACTGTGGCAGTATATGGGCACTGTGAGTCTTACCTCTTGGCAAGCTTTACACGGGAAGCCATGTCTGTGTTCTTGGTAGGAGAGTGACCAGAGTAATTTTTTTTTTTTTTTCAAAAACAAACGTACTCAGTGCCTGCAATGTGTCATGCTGCCAACAAAGGGCCAGAAACAGAACAAGAGCTTTGCTACACGACCAGTCCAAGGCCATCAATGAACTCTAGGACACTCACAAAATATCTTAATTTTGAAAATAATGCACATTTTCATCCACTGTTTCAAAGGTGGATGTTAACATTTAACATCATTCCTACAAAAAAAAAAAAATCTACTGAGTGAGGTTAGTGATGGTCCTAACCAGAGAACCAGAGGAGCAGTGCAGACCCTCTATATAGCCTTGGAGCAATTTTCTGAATGAAGTCTTACATCATCTATCTTTAGAGTAGCCACATTTTCATAAAAGGGCAAGTCATTCCTGTACATTTAGAGGCATCTTACTTCCGCTGGTCAAAATTGCCTGTCACACCCATCTCTGAAATAATTAGTTGTTGATTGATATTTGTGATTATGTGGTGGTCCATCTCACGTCTGTTTAACATTCAAGAAATTCGCTGTGTTATTACCACTCCATCCTCAAACTTGGGTATTTGCCAAATGAAAACTGCTATCGTTTTGGGCTTATGTTGTATTTTCCTGATGATAAAGGCCCACCTCCAAAAGCCACCAAGACAATCTATTAGAATGAATGAACACCCCAGAAATCGGGTAAGGAATTCCACACTCTATCGAGAAGAGCAGAGCTCTTGAGGTTCTTTTCCTCTCCTTGCCTTGTGCACATGATTTTTTTCTCTGCCCGCCGGACTCACTGGTGTGAACAGGGTTAGGGTGGCTTGAAGATATTGCTTAAGCTTGTGTGCAGAACTCACAAGGCATTGCAGAACTGGCTCTCGGCACACATATAGCTCCCAAGCTACTTAAATATCCACGCACACGTGTGGATAGCTACGTAAGATTGCATTTTTATGCTTGTGCTGTGACTCTGCGTGGGTCTCCTGACCTCAGAGGAATCCCTTGAACTCTGGGAATAGCGACATGAGGCACATAGCTCTTTTCCCCTTCCTTGATGACTGGTACCCCTGGGTCCCAAGAATCTGAAGTACTTCATCTCACAGGCAGCTAATCAGAGGAGACTGAGAAGATGAGAAAGGGTGTACATAGAACCGGGGAAGAGCGGGTGCACCTAAGATGATGCCTCTGACAGCTAGGAACCTTGTTTCTGTGGTTTTATTTACAAAGCCTTAGAAAACTGGAGAGCAGGAAAAGCTATCCAGATTCTAAAATCCTCTGAGAGAATTTCTGTCATCACCCTGGAAGCCACACTGCCCAGCTGCTGTCCAGCGCAAGGGTCACGGAGTCCGGGCAGCGCTGTGAACACAGGGGCTGCAACTCGCTGGCGCCACCCGAACACTTTGCGCTTCGGTGGGCTTTGCGCTCTGAAGACGTGTCCCCGCACCATCTTCCCAGGAGCTGTGCGGGAGGTCTGAAACAGCCCAGCTGGTGCCTCGAAAGGGAGTTTCTCGAAGCTCCATCTCTGCTGCCTCCCCTCCCCTTCGGATTTGGGATTTTACCCCCGCCAGGGAGCTGCTGCAGCTCCACAGCATCCGCCCGCCCTCCGAAGGGACCAGGTGCCGCCGACGCCGCTTTCCACGGGGCCGGCCGGAGGGCTTGACCCTAGCGCTGCGGTGTCGCGGATGCTCCCGTGCCGGGGCCGGGGACTCCCCGCCCTTGCGCGCGACCCCGCGCCC